TATTTTTAGTATTTTTTTTAATTCGACGTGACAGAATCATTGTCAACAAAATACCTTTTCATATCTACGAACTAAACCATTGAATCCGACTTCAGACTTCAAAAAAGGAGAGGGTTCCCAATTCGAATGTATGTTTTTTTTATGTCTTACCTTAGACTTTTTCTAGGTGAACCGATTTTGATGATTCTTTCTTTGGTCCTATATAAATTTGGTTAAGATCTAACCAGGAAGAATTGACTTCGACTATATTAATGATGTTCGCATTTTATTTGTATTGAAGTCGGTTGTACACAATTTTTAATTTTACCACTTCTTAAGATACAGATAATCGACATTTTATTTAAGCACATCCAAGTATTACTAACAAGTTAGCAATATAAGTGCGGTAATATCTGTATGTCCATAAAGGCAATTAAGAAAACAAACGAATATATCACGTTGCGTTCGCCCGAGGAAATCCTTGAAGTGCTATAAGGGAGAGAGAAAGTACCAAAAACTGTAATGAAGTGAGAACTTTTAAATTACTCTTTTGTCGTTTCTTGCTATCACAAATCAGGCCACTATCCACTCTAAAGGTACATACATTATAATGATAGAATAATAAATAAGAAAAATATAATATTAAAAGATTTGAATTTTTAAGTTCAAAAAATATTGGATGGATTTCATAGTATTTTTTTTATATGATTATCGTACGAATTATTATTTTTAATCATACGATTATCTTACGATTAGCAACAGCCATTTTATTTATGGTTATTCAAATCATTTCTCCAGTTCTATGGAAATGAGTCTTTTACACAAAATAGATCCCATCGTATGTAGTCGATAGAAAGTAGTGACGATAACATTATACCTACATTTTAAATTTATGAACTCCACCACATTTCGCGTAGTGTATATATTTTTTGACCACAGCCAGCTGATGGTTTGTAAACAAAAGATTAATATGAATATGACCATTATATTTTAGGAAACTTTATAGAAATTCAAATAAAACTAGTATTACCCTACAAACAAGTTAACAAAAGCCGAGCGGTATGAATTTTCTAGTCTAGATTAATAAGCCAAACATGTCCATTTAGAGCGAGATATCTAGCCAAATCATTATTATCTATCTATATATCATTATTTATTATTTTATTGTATTATATATATATATATGATATTTTAATAAATAATATCAACTGGAAGCCCAAGTTTCACTCGGCATTAGATAACAAATGATTTTCTGATTAATTCGTTTTTAAAAAACCCTTTTTACTAAAAACAAGACAATCCATCTTAGTCGTACACTTACTATATCTTCAAGCCTAAAAGTATTTTAAAGAAAAATATTTGCATCTATACGTGGTAGAGCCATTCTGAGCTATATTATGGTTGTAGCACAAATGCATCAGCTGGACTGGGAAAGGACTACGCTGTCACGAATCCTAGCGTGAAATTGCAGTTCAATACTGTGTTTCGTATGGTGAGTGTAGAGAACCGAAAACCATATACATAAACGAGGCATTCCATCTTAGTCCTTAAGGATGATAACGCATACGCATTTTGATTCTTAGATGTCTGTGGGCCGCAACATCCACTTACAATCAAGTGGACTGTGTGCTCGTTTGTCACACTTATTTAATAACGTATATAGCTGAAAGCCTTCACGACACAAGAATAAATGAATTTCCACTAAACCATGATTTTAAAATCGACTATAAAGTATGAAATAACTAACTTCTTCTCATACAGATAAAACGAAAAACGTTGACCTAAATCACTAACTTATTTTATCGCACTGCAAATGATATGAACTGTTGTATCAGTTTTCTCAACGACAGCTACTTTAAATCCCTAAACTCGTTATTTATTGTATACACTCAATTTTATACGCCCCATGTTATGTTTCCTTTTATTTGTATAGGGCTATAAACCTATAAAGTTGCCATTACAGCCTATTAAAGCCTGAACATAGACCTCCCCGCATATCCATGTGGTTAAATATCCCCACGAGGCAATATTTGCCATTGTTGCCACGTTTGGCAAGCGGATCAGCAACCGCAGTTTTTTATAGTCATAATTAGGATGACGCCTACTACGCTACGCTATACCAGCGTAAACTAGCAGCTTAATAAATACTGGTGTGTTTCGATTGGTGAGTATAGAGATCCGTAGACCCTTTTTTAATGGAAACGAGGCATTCCATCTTAGTTCTCAGGGGTGATAACGCATAGATCTGCGTTTTGATTCTTAGTCGAGGATAAATGTAGATGTCTATGGGCCACAGCATCCACTTACCATCAGGTGGACTCCGTGCTCGTTTTTCACCCTTATTATATAAAAAAGAAGCTGGCCTTCTCCTGATTTGTTTCCCTCTGTCGCCTGTTAAGACACCCACAGGATGATATTATGGAGTAGTGAATATTCCTACACCGCCACTACACGGTATAAGCCTATATGAGGTTGCAAATTTTGTACCACCTTTGTTTTGTACCTGTGTTTGTGGTGGGTTAATATTGGATTGTCATCTGGTCCTGAGCTAAACTTAAAAGTTTTAACTCTCTACTTTATAGGGAAGTTAGTTTAAATTTGATTGTAACTTTTTTACCGAATTGACGGAGAAGAAATTTATTAAAAAAATCAAAATAAACATATGCAAGACAGATGTCATATCTAACATCCATGTCATACCAATAACAAATACTATGCTCAAAGTTGTTGGTGAGTTTATACCTAGGAGAAATTTTCTAACGAGGTAGGTCCAATTAAAACCTAAAAGTCAATCGGATAATCTAACTCCGCGGTTAAGAAATTGCGATTCATCTTCCCGTACATTATTCCTTAGTCCTGAAAGTGTACAACCATTGCGTGTTGCCAGTCATGAACCGAAAAGAGGTATTTTACTGCGGACCGTTTCAGGAAACTAAAAGCCACGTAGTAGGCAATGTGGAAGGGTATGCTTGTAAATTCTATCTGATAGAATCCGTAATGAAGACGTTAATGAATATAATAGCAAGCACAAGTAGCAAGGAAGCCATATAACTCGAAGAACCAATAGCTGATGGAAATGAGGATTCTCGAATGGTGACATCGTACTAGTGGGCAAGCTACTCTTGCCCAACACGAACACACGGGAACACACGGCATTCCACTAGATGTTTGCAGACGTAGTAAGATACAAATATAAAGGCGATGGATGCAGATGGTGGCGTGTTGTCAGTTTGATGAGTTATAACTTGTAATTTTCTTTGATAGTTATCGAGTAAAAAATCAAATGGCCAAGCAATTCTTCAGAACTTTATTCATTTTCTCAGTAAAATATCTACCACTCCATATTGGGAGATGCTTAAAGAATAAAAGGTGAGGGCTTTCCTTAAAATTTCTATGCGTGACATTCATCAATCCATTACAAGAATGCAGTGAAACGTTTACTGGGCTTTTAAGAGTCAGTATGGCCGGTGTGTTTCCGTTTTAATAATTAGAGTTGTGATATAATATCAGCTTAGTTTTCAAAGGTGGCAACGCAACATAAGGTCTTCTGTTACTGCGATCCTACCAAATTTAACGATTAATGCAAATCCTGCCTAAAAACGGGAGAAACCGATTTCCAGAATTGGACGTTACTGGCTGATGAAAAAGAAGTATTTTATAGAAGAGACCCGAAATATGCAACCAGCAGGGGACTAAAAGTTATGACCAACCCGTCCGCCAAGCGTGGTGAGTATTTTTTTATAGAAGAGGGGGCAAACGAGCATGCTCCTCACCTGATGGTAAATGACTACCGCCGCGCATGAACAACTACAACATCATGGGATTCGCAGGTGTGTTGCCGGCCTTTTAGATAAGAGTAAGCTCTTTTCTTGAAGGTCCCTAAGTTTTACTGTTTCTGAAAAATCGCCGATAGTAAACGATTCTACAAAGAGGTCTTACGAGGAAGAAAACTCCTAGCAAAACGTATAGTAGTGTACCGCCAAGCCTGTAATGTATGAGTATATAAAGTCTCTCATTGTATATTTATTATAATATATATATATATATATATATATATATGCGGGTGTTCGCCGGGGGCGGTGACATCCATGTATATTATATATACCGGGCGTCGGTTTTGGGGTGGCAGAGCGTATATATAAGCTAAAACTTATTTCATATATATGGGGGGGGGAGGGGCTATATATATATAGGTGGGTGGTTTTGGGGGTTTGGGCTTGGGTGTTGGTGTGTATGGCGGAGCGCCGTATATATATATATATATATTTCAAAGGATATGTCCCGTCGTGAATTTGAAAGACTGTTGATAGTACAAGGTTGTTAATTTTTTAATAATAAAATTATGAACCTATTAAATCCTGAGTAGCAATATGTGTTAAATATATTGTTAATTTTATATCTCTCTACTATTGCTATGGTTTAGAAAAGGAAGGATGTTGTGGCTAACAAATGTAGGGCAGGGACAAGGATAGAATATGATATATAACCCTACTAGAAATATATGACTCACGTAGTACGTTTTGCTAACAAATTTATATATTATATTGAGGAATGAAAAACACGAACCAAAATACTTAAAACAATTTTTTTAAACATATGGTAGCATATGGTATTTTGAGCAACTCGTGAAATTTCACAAAAATACATTAAATATAAGTAATTATTTACTATAAATAATGAAGGATGAATAAACCTATTTCGAAACTGGTAATGTTAAATCTTAATTTTTAAAAATAATCATATTTAAATATAAGAAATAGTTCGGGAACCAGAATATAGCCTTTATCATCTTTCAAGGCCAAAAAATATTCCCAAACATCATCACATGGCTGTATTTCGCCCACGCTTATTGTTATCTTTATGTCAAAACGAAGTGCGTTGGAACAATTACAACCATTTAAAAAACCGATACGACTTTTTATCGAACTACTTTACATAAAATGTACGTAAAAATAAGTTTTCTCGAAAAATTCAAGCAAAAGGCTTGAAATGAATGGTAAAATTGTCATGTTCCTACGTACCTTTACTTTGATCTGCCATTATTCTTTTGCCCGCGAAAATTGTCGCATCATTAAACCGCAAAACATTCACATTACACAAATAATATCGTAGCAATATTTCAGAGTGTAGCAAGTTGTTTAAAACGTGTTTACAATGACACTGATGGTTGAAAATGGCTTGTTTAGTGGAAAAATCGATGTGGAGTCGCGCGCAGTGAGCCGCCAGCGCTACGCAAGTGATAAGGCGCCTGCCGAGGCATTATGGCTATTATACATTTGTACACACATCCTTACAACTTCAAACAAATGCTACAATAAAACTTATCAAAATAACAATAACTGTTTTCGTAGCTCATATGCCTGCATATGTACTTCAAGAAAGCCTAGAAGCACCATCAACACCAATTCCTATAAATGAGCAACTTACCTGTACTCGGTATTTATAATTCAATATCTTTGACTGGAATTAAGATGTTTAGGTTTTGTAAATAAAACAATGTTGTACTCAATTATTTATTACACGAATACTAGACATTTAATAAAATATTTTTTCCGATTTTATTGTGTATCTCCGTAGGATATATTAGTTTGTTAAATAATTTTAGGTGGTTGAACAACGCTAACGTATTAGTAATATAGCAGTGGCATGATTAGTTGGTTGACAAGACCACGCTCGCAGAAAATACCAGCATGAAAAAGCAGTTTAAAATCCTGTGTTTCGTATGATAAATGATAACAACCGAAGACTTTTTCAAAGCGACGTTCAACAAACAGTGAGAATAAGTACGTTACAAGTAACTTTTACTGAATATTATTTAGTGTTTCGACATAGTCACCGTTTAATATAATACAATTAGAACGTCTTTTCTTAGGCTTAAAATTCCCTTCCTAAAGATCTCTTCACTACTGCTTAATCATCTTCGAATTTCCATCTTTTCAGATACTCCTACAATCTCGAAAATAGATTGAAATCACTGAATGCAAGGCCTAGTGAACCTGTAGGATGCACGAGTATTTCATAGTCAGTATCTAGCATTGCAGTGTGCTTCGTCATTTCTTGGGGATTTCGATGTGCCATTCTTTTATGTTTTTCTATATAAGGAGTGCTCTAACAGTAGTTTCAGGTTCAAAATATTCAATAACTAGCATGTCATAACTTATATTCATGTGCATTAGTTTAATAAATAAATCTTTTTTTAATTTGGGGATCTTACAGCTATATTTAAAATCTAGATCACTATATTAAAACTTATATGACAATAGAAAGCTTCCACATATAGGCATAATACATTCACAACAAATCTTTACTCAGACTGACTATTTACGAAATCTATTGTAAGAGTAGACGTAATGCTCGTAGTATTATCACAGATTTTTTTTATAGGAGATGGGGCAAAAGAGCATACGGCTAACCTGATGGTAAGTGAATACCCCCGCCCATGAACAACTGCAACACCAGGGGAATAAATCTAATCCAAATATAACTATGTTTGGATCACTACACCAAAAGTTTTTAAGTTTTAAGAAAATCTCCAATTGAGTGTCTTCGCTATAACTTACTATTCTGGAGCCTCTGTAGCTCAGGAGCGAAGACTTTAAATGACGAAGTGGAAGAATATCCATCAAAGATAACCCTTTTTTTTTTTTTTTTTGCGCCCGAAGCAAATATGGGCAACCCTCCGGAAAGCGGGGGGAGGGAGGTGGTGAATGCTCATAGCATACCACGCAGCCGGCTGCGTGGTTATGTGGTGACTTTTACCCACTAAACACCACCTTTTAGGAAATGGCTTAACGATCTGACTGGAGATCTCTAAGCCGTATACGAACGCGACCCTCCTTGGCAGAAAGGAGGGCGCAAGCGGCGAAAAGCCGCTTAGAAGAGTGCCTAACTAGGCAGATTAATGGATGTGTTATGTAGGCTCGGCCCGAGCCGCCAGGAGGCAGTTCAGGTCAGCCGAAAGCTTGTTGGGGGGGTCCGAGAGAGAGTTTCTCGGTCAGGATAACCCTTGCTCGAGGCAATTTATATACTCTTTGCGCCACACAAGACAATAGCAGTGACCGAAGAAATAGTTGAAAAGTCGAAAAAATTGATTTAGCAGATCGTCATGCCACGTACCTCCAGATTACAGAAGAAACAAAGATTTCGACTGGTAGTGTCTATATAACACTTTAAATAAGCGCTTGGGGATGAAAAAGTATCTGCTCGTTAAGTAGGTATCCAGAATTCTTACTAAAAAAGATAAGTAAGGTAATCAAAGCAGACTGAATATTTCCCGAGACTTTCTGAAACTTTCTGAAACTATTTCAACAAGATCCTTATTGTTTAGCCTTGATTTATAACAATTGATAAAAAACGCCTCCACCATGCCATTAATATACTGAAACAAAGCTACAGTCGTATAACTTGAATATCTCCAATACTTTTAAAGTTCAAGGCAAGTCCCATCGCCTGCGGGAGAGCTCTGTTTTCTGGGATGGCCAGGGGAAAGTAATTTATTCATTTATTAAAATACACAGTAGTGGTTAACAAAGGAAGTTCATCAAAATATCATAGAAAATCAAACACATATCTTATGTTATTTACATAAGATATGTGTGATTATTTGAGAGTACATCACATATATATATATATATATATATATATATATATATATATATATATATATATATATATATATATATATATATATATATATATATAAATATACTAGCTGCCAGGCAGACGTTGTTCTGTCCATTTTAACGACCTTGTCATGTCCTATTAAAAATCCTTAAATTCGCAACAAAAATTGTGGGCTAGGAAAAAAGAATATATTATCTCTCAAGTTAGACCAAACTGCATACAGTGTGCAAATTTGATTAAAATTGATTAAGTAGTTTAGGAGTCCATCGCGGACAAACAACGTGACACGTAATTTATATAATATATTACGATATAATTTTATATATATATATATATATATACCTTTTTAAACATATAGATATTTTGTACGTGGTAGAGCCATGCTATATTAGTAGTATAATTGTAGCACGAATGGGTCGGCTCGACCGGGGAAGGACCACGCTCTCAGAGAATACCAGCGTCAAATAGTAGCTTAATGCTGCTGTGTTTCGTATGATGAGTGTAGAGAAACGGAGACCCTTTTTACTGGAAACGAGGCATTCCGTCTAAGTCCTCACGGGTGACAACGCATCTGCATGTTGCTTCTTAATCAAGGATAGATGTTGATGTCTATTGGTCACAGCAACCACTTACTATCAGGTGGACTGTGTGCTCGTTTGTCACCCTATCATATTAAAAAGAAGTAATATAATATTCTAAATCATTCTCTCGCAGACTAAAGACAGGGTCGGTCGGAAAAAGCATTATGTCCACGATATCCAAACAACGTCATTCAGCTCGGTGTGACGTCGGTCGACGGCAAATGGCGCTTTGCGTACAGCACTGTTAGCTATCGTAAGACGCTAGTAACATTCGTACTACGTTGATAGAAGCCAAACGACCACGTCGGTATGCTTACGTCACCAATAATCGCTGAACAATTCAGACAACAGCTGTAATAAAAAAAATCATTCCGTTATTCTTTATTACCATAGCACTACCGTACCATAGCAGCTACGCTTCTGCTGCCTTTCCTGCTCTTCCAACAGGTATGGTCTATCATAAACCATGGTGCGTCTTCCTACTGCAGCCCGATTAGATAGTATCATCTCAGATGTAAGTGTAACTAGCAATGATTAAAAGACAAAAAAAATCTGTGCGACTCAGAATACACGACATAATGCCAATCCGCGACGAATCTAAGTAATGTATGTAATATGAGATGCGGCTCCATGGTGCAGTGGTTTAGCAATGAGTTGCAACGCCACGGGTTCAACAAAACAAGTATTTGTATAGCCTTCGAATAAATGTTCTGGGTCTCGATGTTTGTACTTGTGCAATTTATGTTTGTAAACTGCCTTCACGATACAGGAGAAAATCATAGTGTGGGCGTAACTTCAATAATGATAGTAATGTGCTCAGGTAGCTCAGGAGCTAAGCTACCACAACAATTACAATTTTAAGTGCTGGTTTGCCAGTTGCTTGGCGGTGAAGGAACAAATCATTAGGAACAAAAATATTTTGAAGGAATGTGAAGCCCGCCAGTTTACACTGAACTAATTGCTCTATAACCCTCCCAGTAATAAAAATTGACCTGTGCACAGCAAGGAGACGTATATAAGCTGTGAATTTTTGAACAATAAAGAATAAACAAATAAATAATGAAATTGACTAATATAAACTTATTGAACTTTTAGGACACATTAGGATTACCCTTAACCGACGAGCGTGTATGCGTAGATATGTGGATACAAAGGACGCGAGAGAGGTATGTTAGAATCGAGCCAAATGGAAGTCCGTAGTCTCTGGCTATCCCTATGGGATATTATGAACTTTTAATTCCATCTTAATATGGACAGTGCTACAGTCCCTTCGGCGTTGTCAAATTGATTGTCGGTATATCGAAGTGCTGAAGTGTTTATACAGTTGGTTATCCGAGTATAGGACGAAATTACGATGTTTTCGTAATGTCGATCCAACTTACGTGGTAGAGCCATGCTACAGATTTACGTGGTAGAGCTATGCTGCAGATATATTATTACCAGCATAAAATAGGCAGCTTAGTGCTGCTGTATTTCGTACATAGAGATGAGAACCGGAGACCCTTTTTGCTAGAAATGAGGCATTCTATCTAAGTCCTCAAGGCAAGGGTGGCAACGCATCTGAATTTTGATTCTTAATCGAGGATAGATGTAGATGTCTATGAGGTACAGAATCCACTTACCATCAGGTGGACTGTGTGCTCGTTTCTCACCCTTATGCTATAAAAGAAACTAGGGAGAGATATACTAACAAAGATTGACGTTATATACTAGGAGAACAGAGCTACATGCACTACATTGAAAATCATATTTTATAGGTGGTACAAACGATGTATTGTCCCACCCATGTACTACAATCACTTTTATATAAACAAAGTTTATTATTATTATATTATA